CATCTGAAGGCTTGAACTCCTCTTCCTCCTCTTCATCATCCTCCTCATCTTCTGCAAACTCATATGGCAGCTGCTCTTTCCCTTCATCAGCTTTGCCTGGGCCGGAGAAGAGAGCTGGGGTCAGAAGAGAGACATGAGTGGTGAGAACCCTGCCTTGTCAGATCTCAGCATTCTCCCAAGGCTCCTGTGAGCATGTTTAATGGGTTCAAACCCTTGAGGAGCTGCTTCGGGAGATTCTGGAGCAGACAGGTTGAAAACCACTCCCCATAGGAGCCTTGGGTAGTTGTCAGGGTGCATGAGTCTCTTGTGAGTGTGCACACCACTGTGTGTGAGAGAGTTTTTCTTTGAAGAGGGCCTATAGTCTTAATTAGATTCTCACTGAGAGGATCACTCAACCAAGGCTAAGAACCTTGTTGTTGTTAGGTGCCATAGAGTCGAGTGTGACTCACAGCAACCCTACGAACAAGCTATCTGAACCCAGTCCTGTCCTGCGCCATCCTCACACTTCCTGACACATAAGAGCTCATTGCAGCAGTCACTGTGTCAATCCACCTGGTTGAGGGTCTTCTTTTCCTTCGCCAGCCCTCCACCCTTCCCAACATCATGTCCCTCTCCAAAGAATAGCACCTCCTGAGGAGTGGATAACTCTGCGTCTCCTGCCCCAACCATGAGACAGAAGCCCCTTTTTCTTAACCTTCAAGCATTATGAAATTCCAGCCAAGAAATAAGTCACTTCCCCTGCAGCCATCTGTTGCCCTACTGCTGCTTATTGCTGTGAAGGTGCAGGACTACATAATGAAGGGAGACATGGACCACAGATTTGTACTATGCCCTAGTGAGGAAGACAAAGGTAGAACATGCCCCCCTGTGAAGATGATGTGGGATGTGCTTGGGCACACAGTGGAAATCTGGATGCAGCCCCAGCTCTCCGTGTCTGGCTCCCATCCTAAGCAGTCCCATTAGCAACCCAGGGGGATCCTGGCTCCCACGGCCTTCCTCCGCCTTGAGTGCTATATCTAGGTCTATGGACCCCTACTTGCTCCCACAGTAGATACAGTACCTAGGGACTCCAGGCAACTGCCTCCCTTCACCCTGAGTGAGCAGCTCTCACCAGGCCTCGTGGAGCGCAGGGCCTGCCGGATCATGCCAGACATGGCGTTCCTCAGGTCATCACTGGTCTTGGGGAGACACCAACCATCCCGTTCTGAGCACATATTCTCTGCGCCATCATTGCGATGAATGATTTTCTGTAACCTGGGGGTAAGGGAGAAAAGTTAGGACATAAAATTCCAGGATGAGGTCTCTGCTGTAGGTGCCAGTTAAAGGGTCTTGCAGTGGTACAGTTGTGCTGATGACTACAGTCCTTGGAGAGCCATCTACAGAGATGGCTGTAACAAGGGAGAAGACTAAAGCTGTTCCCCACCAGCACCGGTCCCTAACCTGTGTGGTCCCCGACCTATGTGGTCCCTGACCTGTGCAGTCCCTGACCGGTGTGGTCCCTGGGCCCCCTTCAACTGTATGTAAAGCAGTTTCCTTAGTGAGGGTGAGCTCATGAAGTTTCCTGGGGAGAGAGATCATAGCTTTTCACCAGATTTCCAAGCCACATTTCACAATTCTCCATCTTGTCCACTCTCTCCATCCTAGGTTCCTCTTGCCCCATATCTACCCAACTGAACATTTTAAACATCACTAAGAACAACTGAGAAAGTTCTGGTGGCCTAGTGGATAGAAGGTGCTAACTCAAAGGCTGGTTGGTTCAAACTCATCAGCTGCTCCATGGGAGAAAGATGGGCAATCTTCTCCCAAGTGATTTACAGCTCTGAGAATCCATAAGAAGGTCAGCTTTGAGTTGGTTCTGATTTGATAGTAATCAGTTATTTCTGAAGAACAAGTGGATTAAAGGTTTTTTCAGGGACTCTGAAGTAGACTCTTCCACTGATGTGAAGAATTAAGCTGGGACCTAAGGCCCTTAATGATGGACTAGCTCCCTTCAGGAGGTCTGCAGCCACACCTGTGGGTAAACTCTTCTCACTAATCCCAGTCCCACTTTCCCCACCCTGGCATCCCAGGGCCCCTGAGATACGTACTCTTCCACGTTCAAATCACAAAACTGATAAAACATCTGTCGATAAGGCGGCAGAGCTCCCTCCCGGAAGATGTAGACAGAGTCCTGGGGAAGAGAGAGGTGGGGAAGGAAGGTAAGTGGGAACTTTCCTCTCAGGGCTGCTGGTGTTGCAGGTCCCTAATCTGCAGGCTCCCACAGGGCCTCTCAAAGGAGCAGGCAGGTTCTCAGAACCCAGCAGGTCTATCCCTCTCCTTGGGCTACAGGCCAGGCCAGTGAACATATGGGAAGACAATGATTAAATAAGCTCCCCTGGAGGCTCCCGGAGGGACAGACAAAGCCAAACACTCTGGGCCTATGCAATCCACGAGATTATGGAATGTCAGGTCAACTTTCCATGCCTTCCTATAGAATCTGCTCTTCTTTATTTCTTGCTAAACTCTGGCTGGACGTCTTATGTCTCCAAGTTGCTTGATGCTTTTTTATTTAGAGAAAAGCAGAGTTTAATGAGTTTTTCCCTTCCCTTGGAGGTAGAGTGCACAGGTAGAAATAACTATTCAGATTATACACTCGGGTAATGACCACTCACTGTTAAGAGCAAAGGTCTAGAAAACTGAGGGCCAAGCCCAGGGCCTAGGATTACTGATGACTATGGTGACAGCTGTGTCCACTTCCACTGTCCCATCTCTGCCTTCCTCCCTCCACCTGCTTTGTGGCATTTGTACTCTGTACCACCCAGCATAAGTGGCAGGCGTCCAGGGAGGGAGACCTGCTCTGCCTGTGAGCTGCTCCCCAGGACTGTGAAGAGGCTCACAGCTGCCTGAGCCCAGGAAGGCCCGACAACTGCTGCCTCCTGCTGGTGATCACATCAAGTGAGCCCACAAGGACAGGCCTGGGTTCCTGTTCATCATAACGCATACCCCCAGAGCACAGCTGGGGTTCAGCCATAGGGTCCCACCCTATACGCATCAGGTGCCTGATTCTGACCTTCCCGGAGCAGGCACCCTACAGGCATGCCAAGGGCCAGCACATGCAGCTACTGGTAACTATGTCGGGTAACCATGACTCACTGCTACAAAAGGCCCTCTACACCCACTGCTCTGCGTGTTCTTCACCCCAAGTTTTCAGAGGCTGTTTCTGAAGGTGGACAAAGCTGCCTCCTGTCAGCTCACCTTCCCGGTTATAAGTCATGGGTGCCCTAAGTGAGGGAGTGCTAACAGCAACACCTCCCTCTCTCACTCTCAATGATGCAGGGGAGTTGCATTAATAACTCACCTGGGCCTCCAGGCGCACCTACCTTGAGCTTATACTTGTTGGAGATTGATTTTCGTGCATTGATTGATCCCGATGGGCCCAGGCCCTGCTTCAGGTCCTGCATGGTGAGCTGGGTGGCTATAAGAACACAAGGACAGTGCTCTGAAAGGGGCAGACACAGTGAGGTGTTCTCCCAACCCTCATCCTGCCCACTCCACTCCTCCCGTCTGTAAAGGCTGCCCAGCAGTGCTCTAGGGTGATTTCTCAGACCCCTCCTCTCCACTTGGCTGTGTCCCACCCTCCTTAGCATCAGTGTGAGGGCAAACGCTCCTCCACATCAGGAGACCTTCTGAATGAGCCAGAGCCACTTACGTGTCTTTTTGACAGTGATAGGGAGGCTGTAGTTGTAGGCGCTGCGTTTTGTCTTGACAGGCATGTCACTGGGGGTGTAACCTGCAGACAAGGGAGTCGTGTGAAGTGAGGGTGAGCGCAGAGCCCACTCTAGCAGATATTTAGCAGCAGGATCAGAAGTGGTGACATTCTGGAAGTTCAGAGTAGCTGATATTTTCTGTTGTTTACTTTGCAGGGCTGTGTACTCTTGCTTGGAGCACAATGATCTACTGCAGTCCCAGGAACTGGGCATTTATGAAACATCTTACATGAGCCAGACCAAGTGCTGAATAAATGGATCGATGCTCAGAGATGGTCTGTGACATGCCCAGGAACATGGCTAGAGCCAAGACTAACGTTCAGACCTTAAGTCTACCCAAGCTTGCACTGAAAAGATACTCACCAAGAGAAAAAAGCTTTTATTATCCTCTCCATACAAATATATTCCTACCACAAAAGAGAGTGCTAGAAATGGAAAGATAAAAAGAGTAAAAGACAAGCAGAGGGCAAACAGTAGTAATTTTTACCGTATTTCATTCCACAACGGATTCGGAAGTCAAGTACTTGATAGATCTTAGCATCTGGGTTTTTTCGGGGGTCATAGCCATACCGAATCCACAAGCTTCTCCAGGGGCCTGTTATCTGAAGAGAGACAAGGTGAGAGTGGCAGGTGAGGATCCAAGTTAGGAGTCTTGCAGTATCTCTACGAGTACCTACCAAACCCCAGTTCCCTTGGTGAATGAAGGAGTAGAGCCCCAGAAACTGGGTCTAGGACTCTGGAATATGCCCAGCTCTGCTACATGCAGGCTAGGTCAGATGGGACAGGCCAGTAGACTTCTCCCAGCCTCATGATACTTTTTTCCACTTGTTTTTGTGAGGCTTAATTGAGATTATGTATGTAGCACCTTTACCACAGCACCTGGCATAATTAAGCTGTTATTATCTATTAGCTCTGTGTAGAATGTGTTCAGCCCCTGAATGGTAAGCAAAAAGACAGAACCAGCTCTCAGAAATTCAACAGGACCACAAATCCAAAAGGTCTAGAATCCAACAAGATAACCAATGTTATAGGGATGACCCGCTGTGACGCCACTACCTGTCAGCCCTTACAGTCATGTCTTTTGTGACCCTTCTGAATGCTTCAGCCAAGGAAACCTCAGCAAGCAGGCTACCTTTGCTACAGGCATATCTGGGAACCTCTGTAATGACACCCCAACTCTCAATCAAAAGTGGATCTGTCCCCCACTGAACCTCCCCTGTCCCAGCTGAGGCAGTGGCTCTGCTACTGACTGGCTGCAGGACCTTGGCTCCACATCCCACCTCTCTGAGCCTAGGCTCTTCCTTGGGGTAACAAGAGAATTATGCTACTACTTTCCAGGGTGGAATAAAGAACATTCTGTACAGATAGGCTCAATCTAACACCCTGTCCTTAGGAATCCAATACAAGGACACTATAAAAATACTCAATCCTTTTACTTAAACATTAGGGAGATTCTAAAATTCTCCAACTATGGCCAGATATGGGACTGAGGAGACTAGATGCACTTCCTGAGACTTTTCCCGCAGGGATCCCAGGACATAGTATCACCTGGTGGCCCCAGGATGACATTCAGGGATCGAGGGCCACTTTTGCAGACACCAAAGGCTGATACTCACCATGTAATAGGCCATGAAGGGCAACAACACCTTCAACTTGTCAGGATGAATGCTGATGTTGGCTTTGACAGCACTACGGGACCAGATAGGCCGGATTTCAAACAGCTGGAAAGGGGTGAAGGCAGAGACTGAGGTGAACCTGAGCAGATTCCAATGCACCCACCCAGCAGGGTCTGGCCCAATGAGCAATCAAGCCCAGTGGGCGGTTCCAGAAAGGAGGCGGCAAGAAAACTCAAATTCACTGCCACAGAGTTGAAACTGAGTCCTAGCTGACCCTCCAGTTTCTGGGGCTGTAAATCACACAGGAGATTTCCCATGGTGGATTTAAACCATCTGAGATGTGGCCTTTGGGTTCATCATGCAACTCCACTTAGACTTATGCTGCCAGAGTTGGAGCTGAATCCCCAACTCCAGACTTCTACAAGGACAAGCATTCCAGAATTACTGTCCTCACTCCCTCAGACTTCCACTCTTAATCATGGATGAAAGCTTAGCGTGCGTCAAGAACAGCTCTGGAACCTGAGGTCCTGAATTACCCCAGAGACATGACCCAGAGCAAGTCTGAGGGGGAAAGTACGGGAGCTTTTGAATTCCATTTTGGGCAACCTGAGCTTGGACAGAGACCCAGAGGAAGCCTGCAAACGGCCCAGGCCCGTGGAGGCAGCAGGTTAGGGATACAGGCTGCCCAGACAACTTGGGAAGGCACAGATAATGGCTGTCCCTATCTCCTTTTCTTTCCTCAAACCCCTGGAAGTGACTGCTAGAAATTAAACAAGTGTCTTTAAGAAATAAAAATCTTCCAAGGAAACAGTGTGTAAATAAACTTAGAAAAGAAAAAGTCCTGAGTCTTAGGCTAGTCAACAATTGACCTCACTGTGAAGTTGGCTGTTCACGTGGACAGAGGACCCCGCCTTGTGCCCACAGAGAATGTAGGCCAGGAGAGAAGGAGAGGACTGTGCGCCAGCCATGGTGGCACAGAGCACCAGTGCTTCGGCCTTGGCTCGATGAACACATCAGAATCTGACCCACAGGAGGTATTTCGTTTAACTTGCTCTCAAGGGGTAAGTAAGAACTTCCAGGTTTGGAGCACCATGTTTAAGTAGCATACAAACAATACACTCATTTTTTCATCACTGTAAAGAGATCACTTAAGAATTCTAAATCTTGGTGAGCTCTGGTGGCCTAGATGCATGGTTCGAATCCACCAAATGCTCTGCTGGAGAAAGAGGGACAATCTCTGGTAGCCTAGATGCATGGTTCAAATCCACCAAATGCTCTGCTGGAGAAAGAGGGACAATCTCGAACCAGTCAGATCTGATTTGACAATACGTACATACACAAATAATAATAAAAAAAGAAAAAATTTTAAATCTTTTCAGCCTTAAGAACTCTAGAGATTATATTGGGCTTTTAGATGGGATATATGGAGGCCAAACATTCAGCCACCAGGGAATCAGGGATTTTTGGGGGGGGGGGGGAGCCACCCTGGCCAATATCAAAATTAAGAGAAACTACGACCAGGTGGGTGGGTACACACGAGGAGGTAGCTACGGAGGCAGCAGGGCAGGCTCACCTTCTTCAAGTCTTCCTCCACTTTCCTGTCTATGGGGTTGGTGCAGATTCTCTTCCATGTCTGGACTGCAGCCTCCAGTGGCTGCGTGGGCACCTCATCCTCTTCAAAGTTGACAAAGATGGCATTGTGGGGGCGCCGGGCTCTGCTCAGGCCAATCAGGTTCTCGCTTGAGACGGTGGGGTTGTTGTAGCCTTCCCTGTGGACAGAGAGTTGTATCTGTGAACTCCCCCCTGGGAACCTGAGTTAGGGAGAGGACCACAGTGCTGACTGCTGACAATGGTGCATGTGTCCTCAGAAAGGACAAGACAGCAGCTGCCAGCTTCACGCTCACACAGGCTCTGGGGCCTGTGGCTCTGAAGCTGGACAAATCAAAGGGTCCAACTAGACTTGGTAGACAGAGCCAAATAATCTGCCTCCACAAAGGTCAAGATGTGGGAAAAGAACCCCAGCAAGAGGCTGGACTCCACCAAAGTGCACCAAGTCACACACAGTACAATCCAGCTGGTAAAAAGTTGGGCATAACCTAACATGTCCACCGTGTGAAGGGGTGAAATTAGGGAAGGCGCAGCCACAGAATGCAGTTAGTTACTAAGATGGACAGAGACAATAGCAGCTCAGCTTGCTGACAGCTACTTAACCCTGGAGACAACCCTATAAGGGGGGAGCTGTTTTCTAATGAAGTGATTTATTATCACTAAGATTAGGAATCCTACCCAGAGTCAAAGGGCTCGGAAGAGCTGACACCCAAACCCAGGAACCTGGCTGCAGAGGCCACATTCTCAACAGCCAGTCCTGCTGCCCAGCAACTCAGAGCTGAGTTCCTTGGCTCAGCAGCATCCTGACAACAGATGGGGTGACCACAGGGTGGTATCAACTGGTATCATCACTTAGCACAGTTAGAATCAAAGGTTCTAGATCTTGTTGATCTGTGTCTGACATACGACACAACTAAGGAGAATGCTTCCTAAAACGCTCATTGTGGTCACCTCTACAGGAGAAATTTCAGAAAGGTCCAACTTACACAAAAACAGAGCATAGTATCAATAACCTATAAACCAGTTATGCTTCAACAGTTAGTGTCACAGAGCTAACCTGTCTCACTCATATGCTGCATCAAGTCCACTCAACTATTTCAAAGTATATTTTAAAGTACATTCAGGGTATCATGTAGTTTCATTTGGATGATTATTATCTTTAGTTCTTTTCATTTCTACACGAGTACCTGCTACCTTTCCATTCAGAAAGAATAACAAAGTTGTCTTCACACTGGAAAACAAAATTAAATAGGATAAACTGTGCCTTAGCTTTTGTGTAAAACTATTTAAAACCACCGTGAACAGGTGTAACATTATCTTGTTTTCAATGACACCTGCCCTACATCCTAGGGAAAGAAAGCCCCTTGTGGCTTACATCCAGGGCCAAGTTGCCTGTGTGTGGAGAGCGGCAGGGGGTGGGGGACCGGCCTGG